AAAAACTGAAATGATATTGGATACTGCTGGTTCCATCTGAACTCTTAGCTAATCAGGAGACTAAGATCTGAGTCAGGACAGACAAATCCATGACACTCTTACTCCATTTAAAAATCTGAAAATATTAGTGGTTGAGCCCCAGCCTTAAGTTAAAAAGCTAAGCAAGAGCATGAGGCCCTGAGTTCAAGACCTGGTACCAGCACACATACAAAAATCAAAATGATAGTTTTTATTTAAAAATAGTCATATTTTGAAGACATTAGGAGAGAGGAAAGTGGCTTGAGTTTCTTCAAGGAAGTCTGGTTCAGTGGGAAGGAATGAAATTCTGGTAGTCTGGAATGGTATGAGTATTTTTCTGCCTGGGGGAAGGGAACTAGCTGAACATCCTGACATTTTGAAAGGTTCCTTAAGGCTGATGAGGAGCAGACTGAAAATTTGAGTTACTACTTCTAGGATTCCTAGGAAGTAGTGAAACATCAAAATCAAAATTAACATTTCTTTTTCTCCTTTCTTATCTATCAGTTTGGAACATGGGAGCATGCACGGCAATATGGAGGTATCTATGCAGCCTGGGCATTTGTCATCCTGTTGGCTGTTTTATGTTTGGGCCGGGCTCTCTATTGGGCCTGTATGAAGGTCAGCCACCCTGTCCAGAACTTCTGAGCCCTCAGTGATTCACAGACTGTGCCTGGCCCCTCCCTAGTGGGGACAGTGACACTACAAAGGGAGCTGGGGTGAAAGGCTTCCAAGGCTTCTGTAAGGAAGCCAAGCAGTTGCCTTCCTTTTTCCTGGGGAGAGGTAGGAATGAACCAAGCCTCTGCTTAGGTTTGGAGGGGTAGATCAGATGGCTGCTGGCTGTTTTCCTCCCAGGGTTGGTGTGTTTAGGGTGAAGTAAATGGAACATTGCCCTGGAACTTGGGTCCTAAAGACGGTTCTTCCTGTGTGCTTCCTGAGAGCCATTCCTCTCCCTTACACATTCCAGGGCAGGGTAGGGTGGGCAGCCCTGGGGGATCCCCTCCCTCTTGTGCACCATTAGGACCTTGCTGCTGCTATTGCACTTCACCAGGGGCTGGCTCTGGCCTCAGTACCCCGTTTTCTCTCCCCACATTCCACGTCTTGTAGGGGTGGGGTCAGCCGCTGCTCTGTACAGAACCACAGGAACTGATATGTATATAACTATTTAATGTGGGGGTACACTCCCCTAATCCTCTATTTCCCTTATTTCCTCCTTCCAACCTTCCTTATCCCATCCCCGGTTGCAGTATTTAACTGGGCTGGGTAGGGTTGCTATATCTTGGGGGGAGGTTAGGGACTCATCCTGTGCTTGTAAATAAATAAGATTGTGACTGTAACCTTTCATAGTCTTAACTTGTGTGTGTAAGGAAGAATACTGTAAACCACAAAGGGATAAAACACAAAGACAGCAAAGCTCAAACTATGGCCTTTTATTTTTTACATGGATTACTCAAACTTAGTGGCTTTTCTCAGTGTTTAAAAAAATATGGGAGGGCACCCACAAAACAAGAAGCTTGGGACATTCTTACAGGAAAAAAAAACAAACTAACTCAGTTTAGTTTCTCTAGAGAACTGTTAAAAAGAAGTATTTGTGGGTAAGGGAAGGCTGTTTCCCCAGCTCAATGGTTCTGGGATGGTGTCACAGGGCTAGGTACAGGGTAATGGGACAGTGGTCACTGCCAAGGGCCTTGGAACGGATCTTGCTGTCGCACAATGCAGGTAAAAGAGAGTGGGACAACAAAAAGTAATCAAGGCGCCAACCAACGTTCTTGGAGCGAGCATTCATCATGTAAGTCCAAAAAGTGTAAGCGTAGGCTGTGTTGGGATAGAGGTGCCGAAAGCTATCAGCCAGGGGCACCACCTGCAACAACTCCCCAAAGCCTTGGCGCTCTTGTGGAGTAAAACCAGCATTCTTTTTGTTTCCCTTGGGGTTACGAAGGTCTATTTCTTCATGAGCCACATTGAGGTCCCCACATAGCACAAGGGGTTTGTGAGAAGCCAAGCCCTTGAGAAACTTGCGAAAGGCTTCATCCCAACGCTGCCGGTATTCCAGTCTTACTAGACCCCGACCTGCATTAGGTACATAGGCTGTCACAAGTACAAATGTGTCAAATTCAGCCACAATCACTCGGCCTTCTTGATCATGTTCCTCCTCACCTACAGAAATGATCAAAACAAGAGCCAGCATTAAAACAAGCAAAGGATCTGGGCACCAGCAGCTCATGACTGGAAGCCAAGCTACTCAAGAGCCTGATATCTGAGGATTGAGGTTTGAGGCCAGTTTAAAATGGAACATCTATGAGATTCTTATCTCCAATTAACCAGCAAAAAGTGGAGGTGTGGCTGAAGTGGTAGAAGAGCACCAACCTTGAGTGAAAAAGCTAAAGAGACAGTGCCCAGGTCCTGAGTTCAAGCTACAGTACACATGTACACACATGCATGTGCGTGTGCACACACAAAACAAGCATAAGGAAAGAGAACAAAAGAATAAAGCAGGCAAAGCTTGGATACTAATAGTTTGAGAAGAGCTAGCAATTAGCAATCAATAGGACCTTACCAATGCCATAAGAGACTTTGAGTGGGCACTGGCGGGAAAGCAGACCCACACCACTGTATCCTTCCTTGTCTGAGGGAGCTGACCAGTACTGATGCGAGAGTCCAGACAGTTCTTGAAGTTCACCTGGTAGTTTGTTCTCTGAACATTTAGTCTCTTGGAGGCACAGGATATCTGGAGCTTCTTCCTTCACCCACTGAGTAAAAAGAAAAGTGGAAAAACTAGTATATATGGACCAATTGGTGTTAGATAGAAGCTACATGCAAATAATTCAGTCTCTGTGCATAAGGAATTAAACAGTCACAATAAAGCACTTAAAGAATTATAAATTAAGACCACACAAACTGGTGCATGCCAGTTACTTAGGGAGGCCAGCTTAAACAGGGCAACTTGGGGATGTAGCTCAAGTAATAGGGCACTTGGTTAAGTATTCAACCTCCAAAACTGTAAAAACATAAGTAGTTAGAAGCAGTGGGCTAAGATTTTAAAGTAATTGACAGAGGACATAGTGCAGATAAAATGGAAGTACAGTAAAGTTTTGATACATTCTGGAGAGGAGGAAAGAACAGGAAACAAAAACCGGTGAAAATGCAGGAATGGCCACTTAGGGAAGAGCTGAAGTCTCCCTTATACATCTTGCACAAGAAAACTACAGATGGATTAATCTTCCAAATCCTTCTATTAAGCACTGTTTTCCCCTCCTTTTACTTCACTCACATCTAAACCTTTCTTCTTAATCCAGGCGCGAAGCCCATCCACATTCCAGGAGCAGATCTTGAGTGTGGCAGCCTTGCCACTGGGTGAAGTTTTCTGATCTGGAGGGTCCTCATATAGGACTGGGCCTTCACCTGCTGCTTCTTTTTCATTTTTCTTTGTTCCCACTTTGGTCTTCTTAGCCTCTGGCTCTATAAAAGTAATAAGACAGGGGCTGGGAAGGTAGCTCAGCGGTAGAGTGCATGCCCTGTAAGCATGAGGCCCTGGGTTCGATTCCTCAGCACCACATAAACAGAAAAAGCCGGAAGTGGTGCTGTGGCTCCAGTGGTAGAGCACTAGCCTTGAGCTGAAGAGCTGAGGAACAATCAGGCCCCATGACCGGCAAAAAAAAAAAAAAAAGTATTAAGACATAATAAGAGCTGGAGATTTTCAACATCTGTGGACAGTGTAGACCCACCCACCCACACCCACAGGAAAAATCTGTCAAACTTAGCTGGGAAGGTGGTTCAGTGGTAGAGTACTTGCCTTGCAAGCACGAGGCCCTGGGTTCGATTCCTCAACACCACATAAGCAGAAAAAGCCGGAAGTGGCATTGTGGTTCAAGTGGTAGAGGCTGAAGACCTGAGGGACAGTGCTCAGGCCCAGAGTTCAAGCCCCACGACCAACAACAACAAAAATCTGTCAAACTCTTTTGTCGGTCCCAATTTGCCATCATGCTGGGCTTGTTAAGAAACACAATGCATGGGCCTGGGAAGGTGGCTCAGTGGTAGAGTGCTTGCCTTGCATGCATGAAGCCCTGGGTTCGATTCCTCTGAGCTGAAGAGCTGAGGGACAGCACCCTGGCTGAGTTCAAGCCCTAGGACCGACACACAAGAAAAAAACACAAGGCAGCATACAGGGACAGGCTCATTCCTTTCTCCTACCTGTCTTGGGCTCTTCCCCGTCTTCTACTACCGCTCCCTTTTTCCCACGCTTTGGCATCGCTGTAACGAATGTCCTTCGGCAACAGTACCTCGTCGCCCACCTAAGGAATATTTTTACGGTGTTGCCTACAGACGCAAAGAAATCGTGATATCAAATAATGGTGGCGTGAAGGCTCCTCAGCCGGGTGTCCCCGAACCAGCTTCCCCCTTTCCAACGCTATCTGCAATTCTACATCCTCGGTATCTGAAACCCTCCAGCCCCTCACCCATTTTAGATTATTTCGGAGTGCTTGCACCCTCCTTGTAATATTTCTTTCCTGCCAGGTCCTTGATTACAGTACCGCCTCAAGCTTGCAGGTCACAACCCCCAATTAGGCGCTGTTACAGAATAGCAAGGCGAAACCTGACCTACTCCGCCGCCAGGTTGCCTCTTACCGCGAGCACAAAGAATGGAACACACCGCGCACCCACGTGGGTGACTGGCAGGGTCACGAGGTCGAGGGATGTGATGATTGGCTTGTCCGGAACCACGTGACGGATAAAGCCCTCCCTCCCAAGCTTGCAGGCCGCGGAAGGCCCCAATGCGTCGCTCCCGGGTGTTTGTCTTTGAGCCTGACTCACAACTCATTTTGTCAACCTCATTCAAGACCCGTGCAAGGTGCGGGGAAAGAACGCGGAGGACGTGGCTTGGCTAGGCCAGAGGAAAACAAAGAGAATAGGACTGACCTTAAAAGGAGCCTAGTCGGTGTTCCGGGCATTTACGAAGACAGCTCCTTGGGGCCTTGAGGCCGCGTTTCCGGTGGCGCCGGCGTGGCACCCGCAGGATTTCTGGGCCGGTTGGTGTGCGCTTGCTGTGCGGTACTCAGCAGGCTCGTCGTCTTCCGCCGAGCCCTGGCCTTTGGCCAAGCAGTCTGTAGGGAGGGCCTGGACGGCGCTCCACTGGAGCTGCGCCAATGCCAGCAGTGCTGGGATTCGAAGGTAGTGCCAACAAGATTGGCGTGGGAGTGGTGCGAGATGGCCGGGTGCTGGCCAATCCGCGGCGGACGTACGTCACGCCTCCGGGCACCGGTGAGTGCGCGGGGCCGGGCGCCTCCGCAGGCTTCCTGCACAGCTCCGCTCTCCATCTCCCTAAATGCTGACGAACTGGGCTCGGGGACGCACCGTCTCCTTTTACAACTGTTTTGTGGTATTTTTTGTGAGCATCTCGTTCTGTTGCTCTGGCTGGCCTCGCCATCGCCGATGTTGCGGTCACGGCGGAACCACAAAACTCCTTGTCCCCGTTACAGTATTTTGGTTCTCAGTATTGTTGCAATCAACGCTATACGTCATTGAACTAGAGTTTATTAAGTTTTTATTGAGCGTCTTTGAGTGCGTGCGTGTATGACTGTGTTTGCTGAGCATTGGAAAATAAATGTGTGACTCTGCTATGCCGTTGAGCATAACGGATTTTGGGAGGGGGGGGGGGGAGTCGGTCATGGGGCTTGAACTCTGCACCTGGGCGCTGTCCCTCTGAGGCTCAAGGCTAGCGCTCTGCCACTTGAGCCATGCATCACTTCCGGCTTTCTGAGTGGTTTATTGGAGATGAGTCTCACAGACTGTCCTGCCCGGGCTGCCTTTGAACCGCTATCCTCAGATCTCAGCCTCCTGAGTAACTAGGATTACAGGCGTGAGCCACCGACGCTTGGTCATAACGGATTTTTAAAACGCTACAGCATGATAAATAGTGTACTGAAATAGAATAAAAATACAGCCGAGCACTGGGGGCTCATGACTGTGATCCTATTCAGAAGGCTATGATCTGAGGATCGAGGTTCAAGCCGGCCTGGGCAGGGAAGTCCATGAGACTCTTATCTCCAGTTAACCTTTAGAAAAGAGGAAGTGGTTCTGTGACTCAAAAGTAGAGTGCTAGCCTTGAGCAGAATTGCTCAGGGACAGCGCCCAGGCCCAGAATTCAAGCCCTAGACAGACAAATATACACTTAGGAGAGGGAAGAAGAGAACATGAGAACTGGAGGATTGCGGTGTTTGTGTTCAGTAATGTTTTGGGCACTGTTCTTTATTCTCAAATTGAGAAAACTATTACTAGTTTTACTGGGTCTTGGTACTAAGTGAAAATAGTAAACACTGTATAATTCTGTGTGTTTGTGTGTGTGTATACGTGTGTACGTGTACCAGCACGCACGCAGGTACAAAGAATTAAACTATTGCCATACCACTTGAGCAGTGTCTCCACTTCCAGCTTAATGATAGTTAATTGGAGATGAGAGTCAGAAGGGATTTGTCTTGGCAAGGCTGGCTCCTAAACTCAGATCTCTGCCTCCTGAATAGATAGGATTATAGATGTAAGATAACTTTTAATATTATTTGCAAGCTAGTATAGCTTGCCCATCATGCCCCCAAACAACCCTCACACAGGGGAGGACAACCCAATGAAGTCAGATTACGTTCTAGGAGTATATATATATTTGTTTGTTTCTTATTTCTTTCTTTTTTTTTTTGGTCCGGTCGTGGGGCCTGAACTCTGGGCCTGGGCGCTGTCCCTAAGCTCTTCAGCTCAAGGCTAGCACTCTACCACTTGAGCCACAGCGCCACTTCTGGCTTTTTTTCTTTTTGTTTATGTGGTACTGAGGAAATGAACCCAGGGCCTCATGCATGCAAGGCAAGCGCTTTACCACTGAGCCACCTTCCCAGCCCTCTTATTTATTTCTGTTTATTTTATGCAGAGGTTTGAACTCAGGGTCTTGAACTCTGGCTTGGTTTTTGCACTCAATGCTGGCACTCCACCACTTGAGTCACAGCTCTACTTGTGCTTTTTTGCTGGTTAACTGGAGATAAAGAGCCTTGTAGGCTTTCTGGTATTGGCTGGCTTCAAATTTTGATCCTCAGATCTCAGCCTCCTGATTAACTAGGATTATAGGCATGAGCTACCAATATCTGCCTATACTTACCTTTATTATTTGTTCTGGGCACTTGGGAACTGGGAATATAGAAATAAAATAGCCAGTGTTGTAAAATACTTGTGGTTAAAGTGAGGAGACTAAAGATAATTGTTATGCTGTAATTTGTTTCTTTTAAATTATCTTTTGTTATACAAAGGTGTTACCATTCAACATGTTAGTTGCTATAATTGTTATATGTTAAATGCAACAGTGTGATCTTGTAGGATTCTGTAAGACCACAGGACAAGTTGCCAAAGAGTATGAGGAAGTTATCACTTGTATTGAGTCCTGAAGATAGAATAGTAGTTGAGTAGAAAGAGAGGCATTTCTGAAAGCTTGCGAGAGTGAAAGAATTCTGTGTTACTAAATGTTTTGATTTTTTTACTTCTTCCTGCTTTTGTTACAGAAAAACCATAGAATCTTTGGTATATGTCTATTTCCTAGGTTTCCTTCCAGGTGATACTGCTAGGCACCACCGAACTGTTATCCTAGATCTGCTGCAGGAGGCACTGGCAGAAGCTGGACTAACCTCCCAGGACATTGATTGTATTGCTTTTACCAAAGGTATGGCAGGGAGAGGGATAAAGTGTGGCAGAGTTTACCTGAGCCTAAGTTAATCTTCACCTTGCCTCTGCCCCTACAACCAACCCCACACTTTCACTTTTTTTTTTTTTTTTTTTTTGGTCTGTCATGGGGCTTGAACTGGGGGCTGAGGCACTGTCCCTGTGCTCTTTACTCAAGGCTAGTGCTCAACCACTTTGAGCCACAGCTCCATTTCCAGTTTTTAGTGGCTAATTGGACATAAGAGTTTCAGGACTTTCCTGCCTGAACTGGCTTTGAAGTTTGATTTTCAGATCTCAGCCTCCTGAATAGCTAGGATTACAGGCATGAGCCACCAGGGCCCAGCTGCCTTTCACACTCCTATATCTTTTACTTCCCTTACCTGTTTTTTTTGTTGTTGTTGTTTGTTTATTTGCTTTTAATTTCTATGATTCTAACTTGCCAATTATAAACTCCTAGGTCCTGGCATGGGTGCTCCATTGGTTTCTGTAGCTGTTGTTGCCCGTACTATAGCCCAGCTGTGGAACAAACCCTTGCTGGGAGTGAACCATTGTATAGGTCACATTGAAATGGGCCGCCTCATCACTGGAGCCACTAACCCAACTGTGCTGTATGTCAGCGGAGGAAATACTCAGGTACTTGCTTATTCTACCCATTCCATCTTCGTCTCTAAGGCATTTAGCCAGTAATTCCCTACTCCCTGAGTTCTAGGAACTGCAAAAACAAACCTGAGCTTGTCTAGACCTAAGATACTGTAGGAAATATACAGTGTAGTTTGTAATTTTGCAGAGTTGGGCGAGACAATTAGAATATTAGATGAGAGTGGGTTTTGTTTTATTTTTGTTGTTGTTGTTGCTTTTTGAGACAGGACATTAGTGCTGCATGTGTGGCTCAAGTGATAGATTTCCAGGAAATGAGACAGGGTCTCACTGTGTAGCCCAAGCTAACTGTAAGCTCAGGACTCTCCTGTAACAGCCACCTGAGAGCATTAGACAATTTTTATATATGGATTATAATTAGGAATTTCTAATTCTAAAAAGGAAAGAATGAATAAGAATTAAAACCTTCAGTTTTGAAGCTTTTTTGTGTGTGTTTGTCAGTTGTGGTGCTGAACTCTGGGCCTGGGTACTATTCCTCAGCACACTACCACTTAAGCCACAGTACCACTTCCAATTTTTTCTGCTTGTGTGGTGCTGAGGAATCGAACCCAGGGCCTCATTCATGCAAGACAAGCACTGTACCACTGAGCCACCTTCCTAATCCCTCTATAATTTCTTTAAGATAACTACATGTGTTGTTTTATGTTACTATGGATAAATACATAGATTTTTAGTAAATATTTAGACTTTTGTTAATTCTAAGAATGTAAACATACAAATAAGAAATACAGCTAATGGTAGAAGGTTTTTTAAACTTACGGGAGAAATATTAGGGATATTTTGTATGATTTTGTGTGTGTGTGTGCCAGTATTGGAGCTTAAACTCAGGGCCTCACTTTCAGGTTTAGTTTTTTCAAACTAGACTGGCATTCTTATCACTTCAGCCACACCTCCACTTCTGACTTTTTGGTAGTTTATTGTTCGTAAGAGTTTCACAGCCCTCCCAAGATGGGCCTCAAACCTCAGGATTATAGGCATGAGCCACCAGCACCCAACTAGTCTAACCTTATAAATTGATTTTTGAGTTCTTCTACTTTGCCTCCTCTTTGGTTTTGACTAATTGTACTGGTTCATTAATCTAGAAGGACTCCTTGCCTCTAAGCAAGAAACCCTATTCCCTAGTTCACACTGCTTCTGGGTGATATATGTATATATTAGGAAACTAAAAACTAGAAAATGTGAAACAACAGATTTCACCTGCAAAATTCTTTTTGTAAAGCCAGGGTATGGCTATTTAGCCAAAGCTGACCAAGCTATATATCCCAGACTGGCATCAAATCCGAGATCCTCTTATCACTGTCTCCTGAGAAACTGGAATTGAGAGTTTGCACTATCAAGCCTGCCTGGCACATTTTTCCATTTCTTACTGGGATGTAGAATAGTTTAGTGGACATTTTGACAATACTACTCTTTTATCCATTGCTTAATACTCCTCTTTGCAGACAATTATAGAATTGTTTAGTGGAAGTTTTTGGCAATACTACTCTTTTCTCTATTGCTTAATGCTCCTCTTTGCAGACTTCAGGCTTCACAGACATTATCATCCTTAGGTGATTGCCTACTCAGAGCATCGTTACCGAATCTTCGGGGAAACCATTGATATTGCTGTGGGCAATTGTTTGGATCGTTTTGCTCGAGTGCTGAAGGTGGGCCATTGAGATTGCTGAAAACTTAAGATGTTTTCTAGAAAACAATGGAAATGGAGAGAAGAAGTAGTTAATAGTGTCATATGCTTCTTACATATATCCTCCTCCAGTTACTTTAAGTGGTGGTTATTGGTGTTGAGACTTTTCTTGAACATACTGTGTAGCATAAGCTAACTTTGAACTTGGGATCCTTGGAATCCTCCTGCCTCTACTTCCTGAGTATTGGACCTACAGGAGTATACCATCATGCCTAGCCTTTAAAAAATAATGTGGGTGGATAGTCATTTACATATTTATATGTATAATTTTCTTGTTACATACCCACATATATGCATACATATACATTCCTTTTTTTTTTTTTTTTTGCTGGTCCTGGGGCTTGAACTCAAGGCCTGGGCATTGTCACTTGAGCCACAGCTCCACTTGAAGCTTTTTGGTAGTTAATTGGAGATAAGACTTTCACAGACTTTGTGCCCAGACTGGCTTTAAACCAGGATCCTCAGATCTCAGCCTCCAGAGTAGCTAGGATTACAGGTGTGAGCCACTGATGCCCAGCTTTATATTTTTTTTTCTTTTTTTTTTTTGGGGGGGGGGGGGGTCTGGTCATGGGGCCTGAACTCTGGGCCTGGGCACTGTCCCTCAGCTCTTCAGCTCAAGGCTAGCACTCTACCACTTGAGCCACAGCGCCACTTCCGGCTTTTTGCTTATGTGGTACTGAGGAATCGAACCCAGGGCCTCATGCATGCAAGGCAAGCGCTCTACCACTGAGCCACCTCCCCAGCCCAATATTCTTGTTTTTTGTAGTGCTAGGGATCCAACTCAGGATGCTGGACATTCTAGGCAAGTGCTCTACCACCAATTTACATCCCTAGTGTCCATAAGCTATATTAATTTATACCTATTTATGTGTATAATTTCATAAAAATAGTAATTAGAGATGGGCACTGGTGGCTCACACCTGTAATCTTAGCTATCCAGGAGGGTCACAATTCAAAGTCAGCCTGGGCAGGAAAGTCCATGTGACTCTTATCTCCAATTAAACACCAAAAAGCCAGAAGTAGAGCTGTAGTTCAAGTGGTAGAGCACTATCCTTGAGTGAAAAAGCACAGGGACAGCAACCCAGGCCCTGAGTTTGAGCCCCAGGTTAGACACACACCCATACAAAAATATTAGTATAGGTTTTAAAATTTAGCATATATTTTTATTTTATCAAAATGAAAACCAAAAGTAATGGGTCTTCATTTTGATATTTTCTAATATGTATATAATGTACTTTAATAATCATTTCTCTAGCCAGGCACTGATAGCTAACACCTATTATCCTAGTTGCTCAAGAAGCTGAGATCTGAGGATTGTAGTTCAAAGCCCACTGGGGCAGGAAAATCCATGAGATTCTTATTTCCACTTAACCACCAAAAAGCTGGAAATGGAGCTACGCTCAAGTGATATAGTGCTAGCCTTGAGCACCAAAACTCAGGGGCAGCCCAGGCCCTGAGTTTGAGCCCCAGGCAGGCTAAAAATAAAATAAAGTTTAAAAATTCCAAAAAAGCACCTGTAATCCTAGCTACTCCGGAGGCTGAGATCTGAAGATTGTGGTTCAGAACCAGCCAGGGCAGGAAACTCCAAGAGAGTAATCTCCAATAAACCACCAGAAAATTGGAAATGTGGTGGCTCAAGTGGTAAAGTGCTTGCTTACCTTGAGCTGAAGAGCTGAGGGACAGCGCCCAGGCCTAGAGTTCAAGCCCACAACTGAAAAAAAAAAAGATATTGATGGTTCTTCAGCTCAGTAGGTAGGGTAAGGCACCCCAGAATGATAGGTATGTCCACATATGTATAAGAATGTGTTTCTAGTTGGACATCAGTGGCTTATGCCTGCAATCCTAGCTACTTGGGAGGCTGAGCTCTGAGGATTGTGGTTCAAAGCCACCCCGGGCAGGAAAAGCCATGAGACTTATCTCCAATTAACCACTGGAAGTGGTACTGTGGCTCAAGTGGTAGAGCTCAGGGACAGTGCCAAGGCCCAGAGTTCAAGCCTCATGACCAAAAAAAAAAAAGAATATTTCTGAGCCAAGCACCAGTGGCACACACCTATAATCCTAGATACTCAGGAGGCTTATATCTGAGGATCTTCATGTGAAGATCAGCCTGATCAGGAAAGACTGTGAGACTAAAATCTCCACTAAACTACCAAAAAAACCAGAAGTGGAGCTATGGCTCAAGTGTTAGAGCACTAGCTTGAACAAAAGCTCAGAGACAGAGCCTAGACCCTGAGTTCAAGCCCCATGACTAGCACAGAAAAGAAACAAATAATAAAAGAATATATTTCTGTAGTTTGTGTTATGCATTTTGCATGCTTATCTGCTTCTTAATTTTCTATCTGTCAGATTTCCAATGACCCAAGTCCAGGCTACAACATTGAACAGATGGCAAAGCGGTAAGAGGATAGGAGGTGGAACAGTGCTGGCTGGAGGGGCTGTGGAGGGTGAGCAACCAACTGACTCTAGGCTCAGTGCCTGTATTCATTCCTACATAGAGGCAAGAAGCTAGTCGAGCTGCCATACACTGTAAAGGGGATGGATGTTTCATTTTCAGGGATTCTGTCTTTCATTGAGGTGAGTGAGAAAGGAAAGGAAATGGAAGCCTGTCTTCCTTTTTTTTTTTTTTTCCTAATAATACGTATCTGTTTTGTTATCATTGTGTTTCCTGCACATAGTGCTGGACTCTATTAGATATGTTCTGTGTGTCAAGTACTATTTTAGTTAATAGGTACAAAGCCTGAGCAAAACAAGAAACTGTCTACATGGAACTTAAGGTTCTAGAAGAGGAAAACAGGGGGGAAAAAATGAGAAAATAAAATTTGTCAGGTAGGAATAAGTACTATGGAAAAAATTAAGGTAATTAAGTTATGGGTGGGAATGTCAGAACAAACATTTGGGAAATAATTATTGAATCGTGTGTGTGTGTGTGTGTGTGTGTGTGTGTGTGTGTGTGTGTCTGTCTGTCTGTCTGTCTGTCTGTCTCTGTCTCTGTCTCTGTCTGTCTGTCTGTCTGTCTGTTGGTTGTAAGGTTTGACTCAGGGCCTGGGCTCTATCCCTGAGCTTTTCTGCTCAAGGATAGCACTCTACTTGGAGCCACAGTTCCACTTCGGGTTTTCTGGTGGTTATTTGCAGTAAGAGTCTCATGGACTTCCCTGCTCTTGCTGACATTGAACCACAATCCTTAGATATTAGCCTCCTAAGTAGCTAGGATTACAGGCATGAATCACCAGCGCCTGGCTTAATTATTGATTTTTTGTTTGTTTGTTTCTTTGTTTTTGTTGGTTGTGGGGCCTGAACTCTGAGCCAGGCACTGTCCCTCAGCTCTTTAGCTCAAGGCTAGTGTTCTACCACTTGAGCCACAGTGCCACTTCTGGCTTTTTCTGCTTATGTGGTGCTGAGGAATTGAACCGAGGGACTCATGCATGCAGGGCAAGCACTCTACCACTGAGCCACCTTCCCAGCCCATGGCTTAATTATTGAATCTTATACTGGATCTAAACTCAGGGCCTCCCACCTGTTTGACACATGGTTGGCTGGTGCTTTACTATTTGAGCCACCTCTCCATACTGGCCTTTTCTGGTTATTTTTGAATGTAGTCTCTTGTGGACTTTTCTACCCAGGCTGGCTTCAAATTAAGTTCTTCTGGTTCTCAGCCTCCTGAGTAGCTACAGTTATATGCATTATCTACTAGTGTCCAGCTTAATTATTAAATCCAAATGGTTGGGCGTGATGGCATACATCTGTAATCTTTTCTACTTGGGAGGCAGCCTAGGAAGATCACAGTTTGATGACATCTAGACCAAAAAAAGTTAAGAGGCCTCATTTCAACAAAAAAACCAGTTATAGTGGTTCATGTGTTTGAACTACATGGGAAGTGAGGTAAGATTGCAACCTTAATGACCCTATATAGAATGTATGAGACCCTACCTGAGAAGTGAACAAAAAGCAAAGGATGGAGATGTGGCTAAAGCAGTAGAGTACTTCCCTATAACAAGCTTGAGGCCCTATATTTAAATCCCAATGTAGTGTGTGTGTGTGCGTGTGCGTGTGTGTGTGTGTGTGTGTGTGTGTGTGTGTGTGTGTGTCTGTCTGTCTGTCTATCTGTCTATATCTGTGTCTATGTTTGTGTCTGTAATCTTAAATGAGTGCTGCTGTTCTTAAGGCTGAGTGTGCAGTGAAGGGTAGTGTGGGATGGGAAGTGGCTGATAACTTGATTTATGATAAAATACAGTAGTCCTTTTTTAGGATTTCCATGAAATCTTTGTTCTTTTGTTTATTTTCCCTTTGAATGTTTGAATGTAGGATGTAGCCCAGCGGATGTTGGCCACAGGCGAGTGTACTCCTGAGGATCTGTGTTTTTCCCTGCAGGTAATGGAGTGAAAAGATGGGGTGGAAAGTTGGGGTTGGAAGATCTTTCCTATAGTGAGAACAGAAAAAAAGCTGTGATGCACTGTTTCGCTTGTCTCCACAGGAAACTGTGTTTGCCATGCTGGTAGAGATTACAGAGCGAGCCATGGCACATTGTGGCTCCCAGGAAGCCCTCATTGTGGGAGGAGTAGGATGTATGTACAATTGAACAGTGTTACTATTTCCTCATCTTGGCATTGCATGTATTCTACTATTCTAAGTTTAAGGAAATCACATGCTTCACTTCTCATCCTGTCTCTCTCAGTCCTTGTTCGTCCTCCCCAACTCCTAAGGGTGCTTGTAAAGCCAGACTATGGAGAGATGGCTGAAATGACATCAAACTAACCTTATTCCCTATCTGTTCATAGGTAATATGAGATTACAGGAGATGATGGAGACAATGTGTCAGGAACGTGAAGCCAAGCTTTTTGCCACAGATGAGAGGTGAAGGCCCCTTCCCTTTCCTGGTTTCTTCCCATGTATGTTTTTCTGACTTACATCACAAGTTTCATTGTCTCTTCCTTCCTAGGTTCTGCATTGACAATGGAGCCATGATAGCTCAGGCTGGCTGGGAGATGTTTCAGGCTGGACTCAGGACACCCCTCAATGATTCTGGGGTAACACAGAGGTGAGTGATTCATTCTTTGGATGGGGTAGATAGGATTAGAGTGAGAAGGTGAGCAGAAAATCATTAGGTAAGACAGTCTAGGACCATGAGGGTAGAAAATGCTAAGGGATAGTTCCTATTTTTCTACAGGTATCGGACAGATGAAGTAGAAGTGACATGGAGGGACTAACAAGAGTAACAAGATCAGAACAGATAGTTCCCTAGTGGAGCTCAGAGGATCCTGGGGCTTTAATCTCTGCCCTGGGAATATTGGCAGTACGGTGGACTTCTCTCTCCGGTGGTCAAGATATGGACTCACAAGACTTAAAGTTCCCGAGAATCTCCAGATGACTTGGCAATAAAATATTTTTTGGTTTTGTACATTGGTAATTGGATAGTGTTGTGGAGGACCAATATGGAACCCAAACTGGATAAGTTCTTACTGATGGGATCAGTGGATAAAGAGTCAGAGCTATGGCTAACATTACAGGTAAGTCTTGGAGGTTACTGTTCAGCAGCAAAGCATGATGGGAAAGATTTTAACACACCATTAACAGTAATTGTATTATAACTAATAGTATGTTAGTGTCAGCCCCTGTTTGTCTCATTTAAATTCTTTGAAATAGATAGGACTTTGCTCCTGGAGATAGGTCAAATGTTAACAAGAGAAAGACTACCCCTCCTTCATACACTTCCTCCGGCATACTTGTATACAAGTTGTACTCTCCCTTCTTCCAGCAGCACCCTAACCAATCACAACATGCTCTGTATCTTGCCTGTAGAAGGATGAGCTACAAGTTATCTTTTACACTATGGTAACCATGTTCTCTCCAACTACTTTTTTTTTTTATTCCCATCTACCTGTCTTCTAAAATGGAAACTTCTGAAACTTTGGTGCTTACTGGAGCTAATAGCCATTTGTTTGCAAAATTCCATAAATCCTTTTAATATTCCCTTCACAGTCTTTCAAAGAAAACCTGATTTTTATGAAAACTCAGCTTTTCTTGTCACTACTGTGATGGTAGTGGTGATGTCTATACCCTTTGTACACTAGGCCTGTAGGTGGTACAGATGTCCTTCTTTTCTTTTTTTGGGGGGGGTGGTCAGTTGTGGGGCTTGAACTCTGGGCTTGGGCGCTATCCCTCAGCTCTTCAGCTCAAGGCGAGCGCTCTACCGCTTGAACCACAGCGCCACTTCAAGTTTTCTAGTGGTTTATTGGAGATAGGAGTCTCACGGTCTTTCCTGCCCGGGCTGGCTTTGAACTGCAATCCTCAGATGTCAGCCTCCTGAGTAGCTAGGATTACAGGCGTGAGCCACCAGCGCCTGGCTGTCCTTATTATACTATTTGCTGGCCTTTCCTCCTCATCCCTAATACCCCTGCAGCATTGGACTGCCACAATTACAACACTCTTGTAGTAAGTCTTGATTTCAGTGTCCATGTAAGTCATCCCCTTGATATCCACCTTAGTCATTCATTCCTTCAGTCATATTCTAGACAGATAATTCCTCTCCCCTGTATCAAACATTCTGCTCTCCTGCCATTTGCTCCCCCTCCCCCTTTCCAGATTATTCCATCCTGTATGCTAAATCCAGCATTCTCTTCTCCAGGACCTTCATTTTACTGCATACATTTACTTCCGTCTCCCTGCTTCACTTCTAGTAGTCTTTTTTTTTTTTTCTGGTCATGGGGCCTGAACTGTGGGCCTGGGTGCCATCCCCCGCTCTTCAGCTCAAGGTTAGTACTCTACCACTTGAACCACAGCGCCACTTCCAGCTTTTTCTGCTTATGTGGTTCTGCAAGGCAAGCACTCTACCACTGAGCCACCTTCCCAGCCCTTCTAGTAATCTTAATCACCTACTTTCTACCCAGATCCATGTGGCTGAAAGGGTGAGCAAAGCATAGTCATGCTGACTGATCTTACTTGAAATTCATCACCCTGTTACCACAGTGGGTCCTTTTTGCCACCCAGCAACATTCCATCTCCTTAATCCTTTCACTTGCCCTCTTTTTTGATAACTGTCTCCTATCTTCTGACCCTCACATGTTCAATATCTCCCTCCATGTTCTTGCCCTTAACCTTGGTTCATTTTTCAGTGAGAACTGGAAACAATGAGAACATATTTGCAAGCTCCTACTGCTAATCTGACCACTTTCCATCATCTGTGTGTGCTTTGCTGTCCATTCTGCCACTAAATCCCACAACATCTCAGCTGGGGCTAGCTTTGCTCTCAGAAGGTATTTGGTTATGAAAACTAGGTGGGAATTCTGCTTATAAGAAGTCCAGGATGCTGTAAAATATCCTAAAATGCATAGGAAAGCATTCAAGAGACTGCTAAAATGTTACTGGTGTCCCGAGTGAGAAATAATACCCATATGCCATGCACCTGCCCACAGGCTTGTGTAGATCTTAGCCTCTATCTTGTAAAGGTATGGGTCAAAGTTCTCCATCGTTTTTGGTTTTTTTTTCCCAGTTTTTTTGGCAGTACTAGCAATTGAGCTTAGAGCCTCACATTTGTTAAGCAGACTCAACTGCTTGAGCTGCAACCCAGTCCTTTTGTTTTTGTTTTTGTTTTGGTCGGTCGTGGGGCTTGAACTCTGGGCTTGGGCGCTGTCCCTGCACTCTTCAGCTCAAGGCGAGCGCTCTACCACTTGAGCCACAGCGCCAATTACGGTTTTCTAGTAGTTTATTGAAGATAAGAGGCTCACGGACTTTCGTACACGGGCTGGCTTTGAACTGTGATCCTCGCCGGGCGCCAGTGGCTCACGCCTGTAATCCTAGCTACTCAGGAGGCTAAGATCTGGGGATCTCGGCATGCCTCACGCATGCAAGGCAAGCACTCTACCACTGAGCCAGCCACCTTCCCAGCCCCATCCTTTTGGTTTTTTAAAAGTTATTTTTCAGATGAAGTCTTGTACTTTTTCCTAGGGCCAACCTCAGACTAAATCTACTGATGCCTTCTGTGTAGCTGGGAGCACAGACAGATATGCTCTACCACATTTTTTTTTTTTTTTTTTTTTTTCCTTTTTTTTTTTTTTTTTTATTGTAAAGCTACTATACAGAGGGTTACAGTTACATGAGTGAGGTTATGAGTACACTTCCTCTTGAACATTGTTACCCCCTCCATTGTTTTCCCCCTACCATCCCCTCCCTCCCTCCCTTCCCCGAGGTTCTTTTTTTTTTTTTTTTTTGATTGTGATTAAATGATTACATAATTTCAAAGTCACAAGTTCATTCTAACTTCCCTGGAGCAAATTGTCTACCACAGTCTGTAATATATAACAGTGTTCACATGTTATGTACCATATTTGTGATCAGCAGCATGAGGATATTTAGTAGTGGTTCAACCAGATGAGCGGGAGTTCTTTGTTTCTTAAGTCCTGTTAGTTTTGTCGTATCACCTAACCTTTTGGATTTAGCATCCACTTATGAGGGAGACCATGTACCGTTTGTCTCTTCGTTCTTGGCTTACCTCGCTCAACATGATTCCTTCTAGCTCCATCCATTTCCCTGCAAATGCCATTATTTTGTCATTTCTAATGGCTGCATAATATTCCATTGTGTATAGATACCACAATTTTTGGATCCATTCATCTGTGGTGGGGCACCTAGGTTGTTTCCATATCCTAGCTATTGCGAACAGTGCTGCAATAAACATGGAGGTGCACGTGTCCTTGTATATTGGTTCCTGTTGTTCAGGGTAGATGCCTAGAAGTGGTATGACTGGGTCGTAAGGGAGGTCAATCTTTAGCTTTCTAAGGACCCTCCAGACTGCTTTCCAAAGTGGTTGTATAAGTGTACATTCCCACCAGCAGTGTAATAGGGTTCCTCTTTCTCCACATCCCCTCCAGCATTTGTCGTTGGCTGATTTGTGGATGTGGGACATTCTGACTGGGGTAAGGTGGTATCTCAGGGTTGTCTTTATTTGCATTTCCTTCACCACCAGGGATGATGAACATTTCCTCATGTGTTTCTTTGCCATTTTTATTTCTTCATTTGAGAAGTCCCTCTTTAGTTCCCTTGCCCATTTAGTAATTGGTTTGTTAGGTTTGGGAGGGATTAGTTTCTTGAGTTCCCTGTATATACAGGATGTTAACCCCTTGTCTGATATATTGCTGGTAAATATTTTTTCCCAATTAGTTGGTTGTCTTTCTAGCTTAGTTGCGATAGATTTAGCTGTGCAGAAGCTTTTTATTTTAAGGTAGTCCCATTTGTCGAGTCTCTCTCCAACTTGTTGTGACCCTGGGACTCTGTTCAGGAAGTTCCTTCCTGTGCCTATTAGTTCAAGTGTCTCTCCTACTCTGTCCTGCAGTAGTTTCAGAGATTCAGGTTTAATGTTAAGGTCTTTAATCCATTTTGAGTTGATGTTGGTGCATGGTGATAGGCTGGGGTCCACTTTTAGTTTTCTGCATGTGGCTGCCCAGTTTTCCCAGCACCAGCGGTTGAAGAGGCTGTGTTTCTTCCATTGTATGTCTTTGGCTCCTTTGTCGAATATCAGCTGGCTGTAGGCCTGTGGATTTATATCTGGATCTTCTATTCTGTTCCATTGGTCTTCGGGTCTGTTTTTGTGCCAGTACCATGCTGTCTTTGTGATTATAGCTCTGTAGTAGAGTTTGAAGTTCGGCATGGATAGCCCTCCCATATTGTCTTTATCCCCTAGAATTGTTTTGGCTATTCTAGGTCTTTTGTTGTTCCATATAAATTTTTGGACTGTTTTCTGTATTTCAGTGATGTACGTCATTGGGATTTTAATAGGAATTGCATTGAATTTGTATATTAGTTTTGGAAGTATCACCATCTTTACTATATTAAGTCGGCCTATCCAGGAGCATGGGAGGTCTTTCCATTTCCTAGTGTCTTCTGCAATTTCTTTCTTTAACTTTTTATAGTTCTCATTAAATAGTTCTTTTACATCTTTGGTTAGGTTAATTCCTAAATATTTTATTTTTTGGGAGGTTATTGTGAATGGGGTTGCTCCCTTTATTTCCCTCTCTTCCTGTGCGTTATCAGTGTATAGGAAGGCAACTGATTTTTGTGGGTTTATTTTGTATCCTGCTATTTTGCCGAAGTGACTTATGATTTCTAAAAGTTTGGGGATGGAGTTTTTGGGATCGTGGAGGTATAGTATCATGTCGTCTGCAAAAAGGGATAGTTTCACTTCTTCTTTCCCTATGCGGATCCCTTTAATGTCTTTTTCTTGCCTTATTGCCCTGGCTAAGGGTTCTAGGACTATGTTGAAGAGGAGTGGAGACAGTGGACATCCTTGCCTTGTTCCTGTTTTTAGGAGGATTGGTTGTAGCTTTTCCCCATTAAGTATAATATTGGCTATTGGTCTGTCATAAATGGCTTTTATTGTTTTTAGAAATGTTCCTTCTATTCCTATTTTCTCCAGAGCTTTTAGCATGAATGAATGTTGAATTTTATCAAAGGCCTTTTCTGCATCTGTGGCGATAATCATGTGATTCTTGACCTTGGCTCTGTTGATATGCTG